AGCAAATCCCTTCCTGTTGTGTGCGCCCGGCTTCGAGCGAGACCCTTCAATTGCGGTCTTCGCTGGTCCCCGGTCTTAGGAATCTTTGATTGTGATTCGGAACAGCAATGATGATGCAAGTAATAAATTAAAATTAAACTGAATAGGTCATGTATGTGTCAAGTTTGCCAATTTAGAGGTTGAAAACTGTGACATGATCAGCAAAGAACACAATCATCAAGCAATGCCAGAAGAGATAATCAAGACTGACTGACTTAAGGCAAAGACAAGATGAATGAGGGAAAAGTGAGAGCTCGTATCATCTCAAGAGTACAATGACAAGGACATGGTCAGTGCTCAGTGTCTGTGCTCTCACTCTCCCCTCTCACTTTCAACCTCAATCCCGGTCTCTCAGAGCATCTGACACCACGTCCAAGTACATCTTTAGAAGATCTGTTGCGGTATGTATCTGATGACCGTACTCAAGTCTTGATTATGCTCTTTTCCATATGTCTGTCGTGCCCAATAAGCTCTTGCCTTGAGTCTACTGTGCTCAGATGCTCGCTGATTTTAAGGGTGCTCACTTATCACCTAATCAATCTTGCTGAGCACTGATGTCACCGAGAACACTCGCTGTGACATAACTGTTGCTACTGTCACTAGGAGAGCCCGCTATGACCAGCACTTTGTTGTTGTCACCGGGATTGCCTGTTGTAACTAGCACCCTGGCTGCTACCACCGGGACCTCCCGCTGTGGCCAGCACTATCGCTGCCGTCATCGGAATTGTCTGCTGTGACCAGCGTCGTCGCTGCTACCACCGGGACCCCCCCCGCTATGGCCAGCACTCTCGCTGCTGTCACCGGAACTGCCCGTTGTGACCAACGTTATGTCCCCTGAGAGTGGGACCTGCTGAGAGTAAACTGAGATCTTCGATAGAGTGCACTCAATTTGAACTTAACGGAACTGAAAATCGAGCTCATTGGGTTCGGGGTCACTGAGACCGAATTGAGCCTAGTGATTGGTTCACTGAGATTGAACCATGGTAACCGACCGGACGTCCGGACCGGTCTCCAGACAACGCCAAACATTTTGCAGGGGTCCGGTGTCCGGTCCTGGACGTCCGATACGGCCCCCCCCCATGAAAATTCGAAAAAAAAAAAGGGGCCTCGAAGGACGTTTTTTGGGTCCTCGTCGGCCCCTGAAAAATGCCAGGCCGATTTTTTGCCTTTTTTTTGTCCTACCTGACGCAGGTTGAAGGCCGGACCCGCCACAGTCTGTGCAGACTCAGGTGGGGTGGCGGGAGGCAGGGCCAGCGTTTTCGAAGTTCGAAGTTCAAACTGGCCGTTTTTCGAGTTTGGAGGGCGCGCTGTTCGGAAGCCGCCGGCTGCTGCCCGTCGCATCTTCCCTGCAGCCCCTCGGCCATCGCCGACAAAACACGAGGCCGCCGCCAGCGTCCAAGAACCACCAAGCGGCCGCCATCGTTCAGCCCTCGCTGCCGTACCAGCCAGCCGCCGCCGTCGCCCAAGAAGCAGGTCAGTCTCTCTCTCTCTCTCTCTCTCTCTCTCTCTCTCTCTCTCTCT